GCAGGCACAAGTCTTCCCTTCTCATCTCCCGTCTCTCGTCCCATCTGTCCCTTCTGTGACTGTGTGGAGGAATATTCTGGAAATAGATCAGCATTCTACACCCTAAGAAGGCGTTTTCAAGCAAGGGGAAGAGACTCAGGCAACACGGAGAAGCCAGCCTCTGGAGAAGGAGCACCCTTTGCCACGTCCTGAGGGCACCTTTGTGCACCATAATAGATGATGGCGGGGTGGACCGCTGATTCCCCTGCTAAAAGTCTCATTGCGTTTAGAGTTCCAGGGGCAGATAAATCACAGACCTGGTTTGGTTTTAGTACTCATCGGAGCCAGGAGACTATGTGACAGAACGATGGAAAGCATGGACTTTGAAGTCATATGGACCCCCAGTTTTGAGCCCCAACTTCACGTGAATTTAACCGCCTATTGGGTGTCCAAAGAGACTCAAGTTTCCCCACGAATCGGATGATGAAATCTGTAGTGCTTCATTAGGAATACCACTCCATAGAGGTTATTGAAAAGGTTAAAAAGTATCTAATCTTAAGGTAAAGCCTGACTCAGAGCAAATACCAGCTAATGGCCCCCGACCTCAGTGATACCATTAATAGCACTTCCTTCATTCCTAGTGACGCACGGCAGATCACAGGGGTGTGCGGGTGCCCCTCACATACAGACTGCTCTGGGAAGTAATGTTCAGGTCATTGCTTACAGCTAGGGCTAAAAGGGAACACATGTGTTAGGAATGGGGGGGGGAGGAGATAGTGTCATGAGTGTTGGGGGCTTTGTGCTGGGGTGGGAGCTTTCTCCCTTTCTCTCCGAGTCCTCTGGTAGAGGAGCTCCGTAGACCTTCCCCATGTGGTGGTGAGGGCATCCTGCTTTCTTGGGAGCTATGGACTCTTGCAGGGCGTTGCAGTTATGGTCCCGTTGCTGTGATGAGATGCCACGACCAAGCCAACTCACAAAAGGAAGTAGTTAGTTGGGGGTTTGCTTCCAGTTTCAGAAGGTTAGTTCATGATCGTGGCAGGGAGTATGGTAGCAGGCAGGCGTGGTGCTGGGGTGGTAGCTGAGAGCTCACATCTGATCCACAAGGTGGAGATGAGAGAGGGAGGGAGGGAGGGAGGGAGGGAGGGAGAGAGAGAGAGAGAGAGAGAGAGAGAGAGAGAGAGAGAGAGAGAGAGAGAGAGAGAGAGAGAGAGAGAGAGAGAAAACTGACCTGACCTGGCATGGGCTTTTGAAACTTCAAACCCCACCCTGAGTGATACTCCTACTTCAACAAGGCCATGCCTTCTAACCCTTCCCAAACAGTTCCACCTAGCTGGGGAACCGAGCCTTCAACTAGATGAGTCTATGGGGGCCAGTCTCGTTCCAGCTGCCACACAGAGTAATCAGAGGAGGGACGCATTTGGGGCTTCTAAATTGCTTGCGTGTATGTGAGTGTTCGTGTGCGGTGTGGGTGCTTTGCCGACTGGTGTGTACGCCAGGCCCTCTGGTTCAGGGAGCCCCCCCACCTCTGCCTGCCTCTCCCTACCTGTGTGCTGGGGCTGACAAACACCGGCTCTGCATGGGTTTTAGGGGTCCGAGTTCTGCTTCTCGTGCCTGAACAGCAAATGATTGATTTTCTGAGCCGCCTCCCGAGGCCCCTGTCTTTCTATTATTCTGGGAGTCCTCATGTAGCCAAAGCTGGCCTCGAATGTGCTCTGTGGCCAAGAATGTTGAGCTCCAGGTCCTTAGCCTCCTAAGTGCGTGATCACAAGGACTGTCGCATGTGGCTTTGTTTCGTTTATGAGGCAGGGCCTTGCTCTATAGCCCCGGATGCCCTCGCTCTATAGCCCCGGATGCCCTCGCTCTATAGCCCCGGATGCCCTCGCTCTATAGCCCCGGATGGCCTCGCTCTAAAGCCCTGGATGCCCTTACATGGCCGTCTTTCTGCGTGGCCTCCCGGTTGCTGGGATGACAGGCACGCGTCGCCTGCTTCCCTAGGTGGATGCGCACAAGTCCATTTGTCTTGGCATTTCCTTGTGCTCAGGGACCGTGTCTCACAGTCTGATCGCCCTGATGGTCCTGCCTTGTGCTCAGTTACCTATGAAGTACGTACGTAAGCATGGGTGCGATGGAAGCCAGGAGCTGGCTGTAAGCTTTCATTAGAAGCTGATCTGTGAAGGTAGGAGGTGCACGCCTTCACGCTTCGAAAGCTGTATTTATGTTCTTTTTAAGTAGACCAAACAGGGCCATCCGTATGTCTCAGTGGGTAAAGGGGCTGACCGTGGAAGCTCGGCAACCTGAGTTTGAACCCTAAAAGTCCGTGTCAAGGTAGAAGGGACGAACAGACCTGTAAGGCTGTCCTCTGACCTCTACAGGTACTCCATAGCACGAGTGCCCAAGCACACATCATACGCACAGCAGCAACAACGGTAATAAAGACAGTTATAACAGTGATAATGAGGTTAATAATGATAGTAATAAACAGAGATATTCTCAAGAAAGACGATTCCCACCCTCCCCAAAGGGCTCAGTGTGGCCTCTGGCGTCTCTCTCTCTCCTTGCCTTTTCCATGAGCGGTAAAACATCCTCTATCTTTGGTGATTTTTTTCTTTTATGAAATGTAATAATCTTTATAAACCTGCCAAATAAGAAATAAACTCATCTGCAGAGGGCAGAGCAGCCTGTCCGACTCCATGAAGACAGGAAGAGTGGTGACCTGCATTGTGAGTGAATTATAGATGCTGTCCTCGGGGCCAAGGCATGGCTCAGTGGGTAAAGTGCCTGCTGCAAGTCTGAGGGCCTCATTCTTGGCTACACTGCATCCTTGTCTACACTGCATTCTCATCTACACTGCATTCTCATCTACACTGCATTCTCATCCACAGTGCATTCTCGTCTACACTGCATTCTCATCCACACTGCATTCTCATCTACACTGCATTCTCGTCTACACTGCATTCTCATCTGTACTGCATTCTCATCTACACTGCATTCTTATCCACACTGCATTCTCATCTGTACTGCATTCTTATCTATGCTGCATTCTCATCTACACTGCATTCTTATCTATGCTGCATTCTCATCTACACTGCATTCTCACCTACACTGCATTCTTATCCACACTGCATTCTTATCTATGCTGCATTCTCATCTACAGTGCATCCTTGTCTACACTGCATTCTCATCTACAGTGCATTCTCATCTACACTGCATTCTTATCCACACTGCATTCTCATCTACACTGCATTCTCATCTACAGTGCATTCTCATCTACACTGCATTCTTATCCACACTGCATTCTCATCTACACTGCATTCTCATCTACACTGCATTCTTATCCACACTGCATTCTTATCTATGCTGCATTCTCATCTACACTGCATTCTCATCTACACTGCATCCTTGTCTACACTGCATTCTCATCTACACTGCATCCTTGTCTACACTGCATTCTCATCTACACTGCATTCTTATCCACACTGCATTCTCATCTACACTGCATTCTTATCTACACTGCATTCTCATCTACACTGCATCCTCATCTACACTGCATTCTCATCTACACTGCATTCTTATCCACACTGCATTCTTGTCTACACTGGGAAGGGTGGGATGCAGTGGTGTATGCCTTCAGCTCCAGCACTGGGGTGGGCAGTAACAGGTGGATCCCTGGAGCTCACTCACCAGCCAGCCTGGCAGAGTCTCTGAGCTCCATGTTCAGTAAGCGACCCTCTCTTAAAAATTAGGTGCAGAGCAGTCAAGGAAGATACCTGCTGTCTAGCTCTGACCTCTACATGCATACATACATGCATACACACATGCACACATCCACTATATGCACACACACACACACACTCATCATACATGTGCACATATCCACTACATGTATACAAACACTCAGGCACCCAAGTGTGCACATCCACACAGACAGGTACACACACACTTAATGAACTTGCTTTGCGTTGTTGATGTGTATTCAGTGGCATGGAAAATCAGGGACTGACCATGCTTCGTAGGAACTCACTGATGCACACATAAATATAAAAACGCTATTCTAGAACAAATTAGCCTCCCAGTCAGAAAGAGGCATTATTTCACTGAACACACGCACACACACACACACACACACACACACACACACACACACACACACGAGATGTATGGTCTCCCATTTACAACAGGAAAGGGTATGTATATATTTCTTGTAGGGGGTGAGATATATGGGAATGTGTGCAGAGGAGGGAGCCAGGCTAAAATAATGGTTATGTTGAAGACTCATGCTTTATCTGTTCAATTTAAATTATTGAGATCAAAAGAGGGACACTTGATTTCCTGAGCACAAAAGGTACTGATGACTTTTGATTTTCAAAACATTAGAACCATGACAAAACAACTAAGCCAGCCTTCGTGTCTGCTTCCTTAAACCCCGGCCCCCGAGTGAGAGGGAGGCTGGCTGCCGTCATGCAGCTCTGTGGTGTGAGCCCCTTGATGGCTCTCTACAGAGGTCTCAGGAGGAAGGTCTGGCCACTGTCCTCTTGAGGTTTCTCCCGCGTGTCCTGTGAGGTGGCATGCCACCTTCTTCCCTCGCTCCCGTAGAAAGGCCTTGTAGAATGTTCCAGGCTAGTCAGGGTCAGCAAAGCCAATTTGTGTCCTTTGGCCAAGAGAATAAGGCTAAGGTGCCACGCGGAGCCCAGAAGAAACTGCTCTGCCTCTTCTGCTTTGTATTATGGCTGTGCTTCCAGAGGGATGAAAACTTAGGGCTTGACCCTGTCTCAGAGGAACTCAGCAGACTCCTGTGGGTTCCTGGGTTGGTGGCTAAACACGATTCCTTTCCTAGGACACACTGGCCTTGGTCAGCGTGTGGTACGTTGATAATTTCTAGTTCCAAAGCTTGGTTCTCCCTCTTCCTCCTGGGGACATGGTTCTGCATGGGCAACTGTACCTATAAGCACCAGGACTGCCAGAATGATTCGTGTCAACTGATGTCCTGCCTCATGCGCGCTCTCTTTCTTGTTTTGAAACAGATACGAATTTTGTGTTGGGGAACGCCCAGATAGTGGACTGGCCCATCGTGTACAGCAATGATGGATTCTGCAAACTGTCTGGCTACCACCGGGCAGAGGTGATGCAGAAAAGCAGCGCCTGCAGGTACCCGCGGCAGCCCCTGGGGAGTCCCGAGGGGCGTCTCTTGGAAAAGGGGAGACTGCCTTGATCTCGCTCTCTGTTTCTGGTGAAATTTTAGTCCGTGCATGTGCTGGAAAAGCCACTGGAGATGTAGGACGTGGTTCCTGCCACTGACAAAGCAGCAGTCAGTAGGGTGGAGAATGGAGAACAGAAAAATCTATATGACGTTGTCTTAGGGTTTTTATTACTGTGAAGAGACCCTATGGCCACGGCAACACTTGTAAAGAAAGTTTAATCGCGAGCGGCTCGCCTACAGTTTCAGAGATTCAGTCCGTTATGATCATGTCAGGGAACATGGGGGCGTGCAGGCAGCGCGGTGCTGGAGCCAAGAGGGCTCAATCTTGCAGGCGACAGGAAGTCGACTGGCCATCACACGGAGGAAAGCTTGAGCGAGAGACCCCAAAGCCCGCCCCCAGAGCGATGCACTTCCTCCAAGAAGACAACACCTCCTAATAGTATCACTCTCTTTGGGGGGCCACGTTTTTGACCCACCATAGATGTGAACTCAAAGGTTTATGAGGTTTAGACAGAATGTAATGTAAGAGAAAATTAAACAGAATTTAATGTAAAAAATGCAGCTTTTGATGATTACATTTAAAAATTTTAAATCACTTTAAGTCAAGGCAGCTGTGTAGCTCAGGCTGGCCTCACACTTGCTAGCTAGCCAAAGATGACCTTGAGCTTCATGATGTACCTGCCTCAGACTCTCCCAGGTGCCGAGATTATAGACAGGTGTGTGCCGGTACGCACTGTATATGCAGGCCTGGGAACTGAACCTGGGGGCTCGTGCTTCTTAGACAAGCACACGCTCTACCAACTGAGCTACATCCCCAGCCCCAATTTTTAAAGCTTTATGAACACTTTACAGAGGGTAATTACAAGCTAAGGCCTCGTTCATTCATCTTTTCCGCAGCCAGAGTTCTTTAGGGGAGAAACCACACTGTCATTTGTTGTGTTATATGCACAGCTGTGTATTTGGTATAGACGCCTCAGTACCTTGAGCCTGGATGTGAGAAAAGCTGTTTCCAAGGTGCTGGGCTGGCACGCATCCTGGACTCTGCCAGGCGTTCCTCTGCAGCCATGGCTGGGTCTTGGCTCGGCACCTTCTGTGGTATATTCACGGAATGGAACCATCATCTAAACCAAGAAGTAAACTCATCATGGAGTGCGGAGATGCCTGCCCTGCCCTGTGTTTTCATGTATTAGAGCAGCCACATTAACTGCTGGCAAACTGTTACGGACAATATTTGAATTCTGTTAGATTCTAGGTTGTTGAGCCTGACAGATGGGCAATTTGACTTTGCTTACTGCTATAGATTTGGAAATCGTGTCTCCAGTGCACATGAATGTCCTGCATTCTCTGTGTGCTGCTTTCCACTGAGTATCTCTGTCTTTATCCGCCCACCTCCATCTGCAGATTGACAACTGACAAGTCTCGGGAGTTAGCTTCACTTTTTAGCATGGTTGGAGCGGCGTTTCCTGTTTCCCTCTTTCCCTTCTGACTGCACTCACCTATGGGACAGCAGAGGTGTTCCCTTGATGAGTTTGCCAACTCTTCTTTTCTGCAGTTCTAAGCAATGTATTCAGTGGCAACACCTGAGCACTCCCCTCCTGTCTGTTTCCACGGCAGTCGTGGTAGATCAGGCCTTCTCTTTTTCTTATTTCTGCACAGCAGACATTTGTATTCTGGTGTCCAGTAGAGGAAATGTTCGCATAGTAGTGAGCTGCGGCTTGGAGGAGTCTGCGAGCCTAGTGCAAATGGGTGTAACCCTACACTTCATCTGTGGGGACTCAGACAGTGGCTCTGCTTGCCTGTGAGGAAGCTACAGCTGTGGGTACCAGCACTTCCCTTAAATGAATGCCACTGTTTCAGAGAAATGTTTCAGAGAAAGAGGGAGACGGAAAGGGAGAGGGGGAGGGGGAGGGGGAGGGAGAGAGTCATAGTCATCTTGTTCCCAGGTTGAGATGATTTAGTCTTGATCTATTCTTCTTTGTAGAGATAGCTCCAAGCTCTCTTTTCCATTTCCCTGGCATCTAGATTGTAAGTACATTTCCAAAGCCTAAAGCACTACATGAACCGCTACATTGAAGTCCACACAGTCAGTCACACCTCTCAGTGGCTAGAAGGAAGATGGAATGACAGAGTGATGCCAGAATCAGAAAATAGCACCTAGGGCTTTCCTTACCAAATGCCGGAGCTGGAAATCCTGGAGTGAGCCTTGGTCCAGTGTCCAGCCAGCATTGGACTTGACTGGAGGTTTGGTCTAGGTCAGGAATTGTACTTGATAGTACATTTATTTCATTTTGTTTTTTGAGGTTCTTTGGGCTAAAATCCCATGATTCCTTGAGTCAGGTTTTCATGAGAAAGCCAGAACACATTCCGTGTGTGGCATTAGAAGATGGGAAATGCATGGTTTGGAGCCCACATTCCCATTTCTGCACAGCCTCAGGCTGTAGGCAGGGATCATTACAGTTTTCCCTTGTGGCCGGAAGGCCTGGGTCTGTGAGGGGTGCTTGCTGGACTCCGGTGGTGGTGTCAGAACTTACCTCTCTTGTCCATTTCCCCTTGCATTTGTATGTATGTGTGTGTGTGTGTGTGTGTGTGTGTGTGTGTGTGTGTGTGTGTGTGTGTGTCCAGTGCCCTTGTTCATCTTACTTAGTTGAGGGTTTATTCTGCTCCTGGAGGACGAGCCTTGGTGACTGGGACTCAGGAAAATGGGACGGTGCTGGCATCTTTCCTGCCTCTGGTGAGAACCAGGGCTCACAGGCAGTGCCCTACCATCCTGAGATTTTCTCTGATCTTTTTACACGCTGTTCAGCTATTTCCTGAGGCTGCTTTATCCAGCAGGAGGATGTATTATTAAAGACCTGGAGGGTTTTATTTTCTCACTGTTTTTGACCCAGTGCTGTTGTCTTTTCCAGAGGGTGAGGAGGCAGGAAAAAAGCTGCGCAGGCAGCGGCAGAATCTTCTGTCTTTCCTTAGCTGTGTCTTGGAGCTAGAGCATCAACATGTACCCCTTTCTTATCTGGTAACTTCTTGTGCCCCTCCCCCCCAAGCTTATTTTGTCAGGAATTAGAAGAAAACCTCCATGGTTCAAGTTTACCCAGTCATTTTCCCCAGAAATCTGGAGTTGTCTTTCTAAGATACAATCTAACTACTTCTCCTTTGTTTAAACCCATCCCCGGGCCTTCCACTTGGTCACAGGCTAAAACGTCATTTACCTTCATGGCCGAGAATGCCACACTCTCTTCTATCATCTCCATGTTCTCTATTGCAACATTTCCCTTCTCTGTCTGTAGTCCACGGGAACTGATGCACATCCAGGTTCTGGAATGACCTCTTAAGTTTGTAATTGTCACACATCACAAGTCTTCCCGACCAAGCAGAGGACCTGCCTGAGGCACTGGTTCTAGTTCCAGATCTACCAGTTTCCCATCTATGTCTGCCCTTAGAGGCTTAGTTTTTAGGGGAAGAAATGGAGACTTAAAAAAAAGAAAAACACAGTTAAATCAGCAAATCTCCTTAAATTCAATTTAATGTTTTCATTGTGTGTGCGTGTGTGTTCATATGTGCATGTATGTGTATATGATTGTATGTGTATGTTTGTGACTGTTTTTGTGTGAATATATAGTCATGTATGTTTACATCACGTGTATCCACATCATGTGAATCCATGTGTGTATGCATGTATGTGTGTTTGTGAATTTTTTTGGTGTGTGTGTAGTGTTCACATGTGTGTATGAATGTATGCGTGCTCATGTGTGTATGCGTATTCATATATGTATGTGTATTCAGTGCTTGATGTGGAACAGACATTTAACATGTGCTTGCAGACAGATGAACACTTGTTGAGTTGCTAATGTGCTTTCTGGTTGACTTTCAGTTTTATGTATGGAGAGCTGACCGATAAGGACACGATTGAAAAGGTGCGCCAGACCTTTGAGAACTACGAGATGAATTCCTTTGAAATCCTGATGTACAAGAAGAACAGTGAGTATCAGACATCTCTGAGCTCTGCTTTCTTGTGCTTAGAGAGGTGTTCTCATCTCTGTTGCTGCTTGATTTTTCTCCTTTTCCATCTAGTTACTGGAAATAATTGTGTGTCACTAACAAGACTTCATCCGTTTTTCTCTTAACTCAGTGCTTTTCCTATCTGTTTATTTATGAATTGCTGGTGGAAGGTGCCAGGAGTTCTCATGACGACCCCAGGAGACAGTGCTAACAACAGGGCATTGTGCATTTGCCTTTGTTTTGGCTACGGTTACTTCCAACAAGTATATAAGGATGTCCGTAGCCATGCACAAGTGTAGGATTTGCTTTTTTCTTAGGAGGATCCTTGCTCGACAGAGGTGAGCTATCCTGAGAAGTGAGGAAGGTGTAGCTCATGCTACAGCCAGACTCCTCGGTTCTGTTTTGTGGGCTGTGCTGTAGATCGAACTCAGAGATTTGTGTGTGCCAGGCAGGTGTTCTACCAATGGAGCTACACCCTCAGACCCCTAAACCTGCTTTGCTTATAAATACTTCTACTCTTTGATTGAGGAAGACACCTGATGTAAACCTCTGGTCTATTCCACACCCATGTACAATATTTGCACCTACACACATGTATATACAACACAGATAAATATGCATATATATACATGCATGTCATACACATATACACATACACACAGAGGCCAGTGAAGAATCCTGCCTTTTACAAAAGTAGGGTTGATTGGAAAGTCATTGGGTCAAGTCACATTTATGGGTGGCCCAGATGGGGCACTAGGGTGTGCTTACATGGCGGTATTCCAGGATCAGCGATTGCTAGTTTGACTTGGAAAGCCAAGGGCACGTGCTGCCTTCATCTGGAAGAATGCTGGGACTCCTCTTGTCTGTCTGGAATGCTGGGTCAGGAAAGTGAGGGCACTGCTTGCTTGGTGGTCATGTAGATGGTGACTGGAGAGCGGTGCCCTAGTCATGAGCATGTTCAACGGCACTGCTCCTGCAAATTATCCTCAATCTAGCTCATTAGTACTTCCCCCTTCTACCCATCTTTAGCAATAGGAGGGAGGAGGGGGGTAAAGGATTTCGAGGGGCTTCTACCCTGGTCCTTCCACGAGGATGGAACACAGACCCAAGGCACAGTTCTGAGTAGAAGCATATCCTCAGCGGCCTTCCCACGGAGGGGGTACAGGCTGCACATATGCCCTGAGTTAATAGAGTAAAGGCTGTGGCTTCCCACACCGGAGCTTTCACGTACTGAACAGTGTGACTTGCCCCATGGCACAGAACGCTAATTGGTAGGTTTATCACACAAAGAATGCCTCACTTTTCTATTTTACTTAAGAGTTTTAAAGCCTCATTAGACTATACACTCAACTTGCTCAAATTCAACTACGCATTCGGAACAAAACAGAGCGAAGGAGACAAAATTTAAATTGTTAAGTGGTTTCACTTGTATTTGGTTTATTTATTCTGTGTGTTTTTCACATCATGCATTCTTGACCCCCATCCATTCCCTACCCCCCTCAGCCCCTGCAACTCCCCACCTGAATAAAACGAAGTTCAAGAGGAAAAAAAAAAGAAGAAGAAAATAAAATGAGGAAAATAAAGAAAAGGGAAGGAATTAAAGATTTCGTCATGGAAGCCGCAGTGTGACCCAACAAGTCATGCTGTATAAACCCTTTGACCAAGTATCTCTACTTGCAAGTGTTAATTGCAAAGAGTCCCTGGTCTGGTTCGAGGTCCCTGGTCTCCACTACATGTTCAATGCTGCTCCCACCCCCGACTCCTCCTGGATGTTCCCCTGCCTGTACTGTGGAGATCCTGCAGCTTTGGGTCAGTGCGTCAGGTCCCTTCACGTGTTCCAGAAGGTCGTAGCTGGGGTGGATGCTGGGCAGCTCCCCCATGCTCACAACTTTGGGGCTGGCTCACCCACACCCGCACTAACAGGGTTGGTTCTACTGTGTTGCCCTGGTGAGGTACGGGGCCCACTCTCCTGAGTGTTGTAGCTGGTGGGGGAGTGATTTAAATTTCCATTCCCTCCAGTAGGCACAGCCCCCAGAGGTAGGAAAGATGGGAGAGGGGGCTCCTTGCTCTTTGACGCTGAGGTCCTGCAGGGTGAGCACCTCACTTCACTGGAAGTGACTCTTGATTCTTGTGTTGGTCATCTGAGCTTTAGGAAGGCAGGCGCTCTCCATGCAGGCTGACTAGATCACCTGCCTGGCCACTAAATGATCCACATGTGTCCCCACACCAGAGTGTGGTAGACTTATGGAGGGACAGATGACAGTCTCTGAATTAGCTTACTGACCTGAGCTCTTCTGTGAGGCTGATGCTAAAACTCTTCCAGAGTCATGTGTCACACCTGATTCTCACTTCTGTGGGAAACTTGGACGGAAGACTATTGAGAGCAGTGCGGAGGCTGGAGACCTCAGTTGTGAAGTTTCAGAGGAAAGTTGAAAGCCTCTACCGGGGCTACTTGTTATTTTGAATTAAGTGTCTGTGGTTCTGGTTAGCTGGGGCTGAAGAATCATCTGTGGCTAACAAGAAACCTGAACTAGTAAATCGAAACCTTGCTTTGCTGGACTGCTTGATGCTGGCCAGCGGGAGCTGAGAAATTAGCGGCGACTCAGAAGAGACTGGCATCACTGAGGTGAAATCTTCCGGAAAGTGTTTCCTGAGAGTACAGAGAAGCTGTGCTTTAGAAGCCACCAAGGTTGTAACTTGTTCGTGCTGGCTGCTGGACTTGGAAATATTGAGTTCACCCAGGTGGTGCTGGTTTTGAAGGCACGAAGGGGTCCTGAAGAGCAGCTGAGGCTTGGCACTGTGAGAGGCCATTGGTGAAGCTGCAGCCTCAGCAGCCGTTGAAGGCCCAGGACTGAAGGGGTCATGCAGAGAAGTTGAAGTTTGGCGCCACGAAGAGAGCCTATGGTGAAAGTGCAGCCCAGTTGCAGGAAAGACCCCAGCGTTTTGGGGACACCAGGACCATGGGATGACCACCAAGGACAGCAGCAGCAGCTGTGGAGTGGAGCCAGCAGGAGCCTAGAAGACAGCTGTGTGTGCTGCAGAGGACGGAGCTGGAGAAGCGACCCAAGCCCCTAGGAGGAGCCCGGAAGATTGTGGGTGGGGCCAATGGACGGTTGGGATTTAGTTTTGCCTGGATTTGGTTGTGACTGTGCCCTGATTTTTTCCTTGAATTGAAGGCCTTGAATTTTTAAAGACTTTGGATTTTAAAAGAGATAGGTTATTTTAAAGGGACTGAAATTTTAATGTGTTTGAATTTGTAAAGGCCGTGGGACTTTTAAAGTTATTTATGTTTTTGCTGTAAGATCTTGGAGACGATTAAGAAAGGAAGAGTTGCGGCTTAATAGTGGTGTGTTTGTGTGTCAAGTTGTACTGGGTGGTTTTGTGTGTCAGCTTGACACAAACTCGAGTCATCAGAGAGGAAGGAGCCTCAGTTGAGGAAATGCCTCCTTGAGATCCAGCTGTAAGGCATTCCATTGTGGGTGGTGTCATCCCTGGACTCGTGGTCCCCGGTTTCCATAAAAAGAGCAGGCTGAGCAAGCCACGGGGAGCAAGCCAGTAAGCAGCTCCCCTCCATGGCCTCTGCATCAGCTCCTGCCTCCAGGTTCCTGCCCTGCTTGAGCTCCTGTCCTGACTTCCTTAAGTGATGCTTTTTGGTCTTTGTGTTTTGTCACAGGGACAGAAACCCTAACTAAGACAGGGGTCAGAGACCCTTTTCACAGGGTCACCTGAGACCACTGGAAAACACAGATGTTTACATTACAATTCGTAACAGTAGCAAAATTATAGTCATGAAGTAGCAGCAAAGATAATTTTACGGTTGTGTGTATTCCACAACACGAGGAACCGTGTTAAGTTCCATTCTTCTACGAGGAAGACGGAGAAGCACTGGTCTAGGAGGAAGAACCTTGATAGAGGAAATAATCACTCCGGGCGGGTGCTGAGGTTTCATAGCCCGGCTCCACTTCCTGTTCCTTTTCTGCGTGTTGACTTGCCAGCCCATGCTCTGCTGCCCTATCCTCTCTGCCCTGAAAACTGCCTGGAACTGCGAGTCCAGACAAGCCATTTCTCCTTGAAGTCGCTTATCTCAGCAACAGGCAGGAAACTAACACACCGGGTGTTCACATGACTCTAGGTTTCCCCTATTATCAGCAGTGCTGAGCTGGTGTGGTGATGCTCTTCCGTGACCCCAGCACTCAGAAGGCTGAGGCAGGAGGATTGCGTTTGAAGCCAGCCTGAGCTACATGTCGAGACCCTGCCTCCAAACCAAACCAAATCAAACCGAACCAAACCAAACCAAACCGAACTGAACCGAACCAAACCGAACCGAACCAAACCAAACCAAACCAAACCCCAGGGAAGCAAAGCAGAACTGATGCTCCAAGGTGAGCGTCGGCAGGCAGGCGGGCGGGCAGCTTTTCTGTTGACACTGTTTCCTGGGGGATGACACTTGCTGTGTCAGAGACACACGTTCCCGAGACACTTGCCAAGTGGCAGCTTTCCTCCGCGCAGCCGTCTGCAGAGTGTGAGTGAGTGGCTGACTCACCATGGCCTCCGGAGCATGAGCACTCACTTTCAAATGGTCGGACCGCCCACAATGAAAGCTTTGTCTGTCAGCTTTTAAAAAAAAGTAGCAGCTGAGATTCAATCGCTTTTCTGTCCCAGCCATGGTTCTCTTGCTGCGGAGAGCCACCATGACCACGGCAACTCTTACCAAGGAAGACATTTCACTGGGGCTGGCTGACAGTTCAGAGGTTCAGTCCATCATCACCGTGGTGGGACGCAGGCAGACAGGTGCTAGAGAGGTAGCTGAGAGGTCTGCATCCGGATTGGCAGGCAGCAGGGACAGCCAGTGAGCCCAGTAGGTCTGGCTTGAGCATCTGGGATCTCAAACCCCACCCACCGCCAGTGACACACTTCCTCCCACAGGGCCTCTTTTACTCCAGTGAATTCACACCGATAATGCTGCTCCCTGTGAGTGTGTGGGGCCATTCACATCCAAGCCTCCGCCCTATTCATTAAAATCACCATTTTAAATGTCAGCCGTTCAGATTCTAGGCCTTTCCGTTCCATTGCATTCTAGTGATTTCCGCATTGTTATTTGTAGGCCTTTTAAATGTCTTTGAACTTTTATGTAGGTGCATGCCGGCGCATGTAATATGTGTGTGTGTGTGTGTGTGTGTGTGTGTGTGTGTGTGTGTGCGTGCAAGTTGGTATGTGGTGTCTTCCTTGTTTGCCACTTTGCTTACTTCAGCAGACTCCCACTGACCGGAGCTCACAGACGTTGGCTAGCTTGCTCTGGGGATGCCCGTCTCTGTTTCCCGGGCACTGAGGTTAATGTGCCGTCTGTGTGAGTTCCGGGACCTGAACTCCAGTGCCCACACTTGCCTGGCAAGCTCTTCACCCGCCGAGCCATTGGACAAGCTTCTCTGAGTGTTGTGACCTCTCTTTCTCACTCTTCAGGGTTTGTGGGGGAGGGGATCTTCTCGTCATGGGCACCTGCTTCTTGTCCACCCTTTTGGGGAGTTGGGGGCGTGTAGCCAAAGGCTTCGGCGGAGTGGCTTGGGGTGAGAGCAGGCGCTTTGTGCATCTGAAGATGGGTCATTCCGTCTGTTGGCTGGTCTGAAAACCTGGTATTTCTGCGGTGCTGAGTCTTTCGTTACGCTGCTGCATACTCACGAGGCTGTGTGGTTCCCTCGCAGTGATGATGGTTATCACGAATGGGCAAATTCAGCAAATATTTATGGGCTCACTCTTGCGCTGGCTTATTTAGTTTCCTCCTTTTTCAAACAAGAAGACCAAGAAGCCTCACCTCTGAGTAAAAGCCACGCAACTCTGTGTTGTTGTCACCTGCTGCCACCCCCCCCGACACACACACACACACACACACACACACACACACACACGCACACAGCGTGTGTGTATGACCACACAGTTTGAGGATGGCTGGGCCCTGTGTCTCTGAGCTCGGAGTGGCTGTGCAGTTAGGGGCATCCAGGAAAAGGTACCCTGTGGTAGTTCAGTTGGCCCAGTGCTTGCAGAAGGAGATGCTGACCAAGGACCAAGTAGCTATTGATTCCTATGGGCAGCTCAGCCCTGACCACAGCAGAGCTGAGACACGTACGTGAGAGATACCGTCTGCTTTACAGTAGCGGGTAACTGTGGAGACAAAATATAACTTTGCCCATTTTCAAATTGGCTCATCGTTTCTCTCTTCTTTGAAGGAGCTGCTGGTGTGTTAATGGCTATAGGTCTCAAATCAAACACACACGGAGAACTATTTTCCTTATTAAAATTCCATTTTATGTTTAGGAACCAAAAAAAAAAACCACACACACACACACACACACAAAGAAGTGAAAAAAATTTTGGAGACAAGGTTTCACTGTGTAGCCCCAGAGGGACTGAATCGCACTCTGTAGACCAGGCTGACCTCAAATCCACAGAGATCTTCCTACTTCTGTCTCTGGAGTGCTGGGTTTAAAGGTTTGTGCCACAATGTCTGGCAAATGTGAATTTTTTTTCATATCACTGTTTTTTCATGGTTTTGAGTTTTGTAGAAGTTTTTTGTTTGTTTGTTTGTTTGTTTGGTTTTACGAGACAGGGTTTCTCTGTATTGTTTTGGAGGCTGTCAGTCCAGCCCAGCCTCAAACTCACAGAGATCCACCTGCCTCTGCCTCCCAAGTGCTGGGATTGAAGGTGTGCGCCACCACCGCTTGGCTGAGTTTTGTAGAAGTTTTTAGGGAACTCTTTTCCTTATCCAAATAATAAAAGTACTCTTCATTTTCTGCCCTGCTGCCCAAGTAGTCGTGTTAAAATACTCTTTAGAATATTAAACAATTTAGAATGTGTCTTTATATATCATGCGATGTTAGCATTTAAACTGATTTTACATATTGCTCATTGAATTGTCACATAGCATTGTTCATTAAACAGTTCAGTTCTTCCTGATTTGGAATTCCCGTTTCTTCCTTTGTGTGTGCTCATATATGTGTGTGCATGTACACATGTGTGGAGGCCAGAGGACAATCTCCACGTCATTCTTTAGGAGTCACCCACCTTGTGGTTTGAGACAGGGTCTCTCATTGGCCTAGAGCGTCTTGAGCAGACTGGCTGCTCTAGAGAGCATCCTGTCTCTGCTTGCCCAGGACACGGATTACATATGTGAGCCGCTATGGTCAGCGCTTTTATACGGCTTATGGAAACTGAGTTCAGATGCTCACGCTTGGATGGGTTCATCTTCTGAGCCGTCTCTGCAGCCCCACCCTTTTCTTTACACAGTAAATCCTTACATCTGCGTGTTTGTTTCTGTCTTCTTGTTCTTCTGCTGTGTGAGCGGGTGCGTGAGTGGGTGCTTGGGCTTTCCATACTTACTACAGGGCTAAAGTTATGGCAGCTGTTACACCTCATAGCACCGTGAGGCTTTCCATACCTACTAAGGAGTTAAAGTTACAGTAGTTACTCCACCTTTAGCATAGTGAGGTACAAACTGCAGCGCGTCAGAGCCTGTCTCATTCCAAGAGCTCAGTAAAGGATTTTTTTACAGTTGTTTGTCTTGCAATCAGAGCTGGTGATACTTAATTACTATAGTACGCATTCATTGTCATTATCTTTTCCCCCTAAGGCCAGGCTTACACCTTTATTTTTCTATTTGAGTCAAATTCCCATTTATCGAGCTCTTAAGGAAAACAAGGAGGCCCCACGGTGACTCCGGCTGGAACTGCATTTTACTTCTGCGTTTAAGCAGGAGGTCTGACATCTTGCCCAGGTGGGCTGTCTTTCTCCAGGCAGCACCGCTCTCCAACCATTTACGTTTTGTTGCATGTTCTTCACTTACGCGGAGGCCACAGCAATGCTCTCCGGCTTCCCCCCTGCTGTGGCTAAGATGCACCCTCTCCTCTCAGAGCAGGGTGAGTTTCCTCACACACTTTGAGATGTATGTTCTTTTAAGTCCTCCAAACAGCCCTGGGGATTTCAGCCCTTAGAAGAAGGATTGGAAAGGAAGAAGGAAAGGGAAGTGGTCACTTTGAACAACCGTGCGTCACCTGTGTTTATTTTTACTTAACCTCAGGGAAGTCAGTTATATCCCTATTTTGTAAGTGGGTGATTGACATTGAGGGAAACTAAATTGTCAGGGCTCATAGTAAACAAGAGAAAGGATTGAGCCCTGGGCTTTGGAGGCCACTCCTCCCCCGTCCCCCATGCTGCCTCAGATTTCTGCATTCATCATTTGTCTTAGAAGAACTCAACCCCAGACCGAACTGTCTGCACCTGGCCAGGATGCTGTTCCTAAGGCCTGTTTCTGGGCCCAGCACCATGGCCAACTTGATGTGGCCCCTTCCCAAGAGCCAGTAAGAGTAGCTTGGCCTGCCCTTCTGTTATTTAACCTCGCACAGTGCAGCCGCGTGTCCTGTTACCCGGTCACAGGGTGGAGGGTATGCCAAGGCTGAGTGGCAGGGGCATCACTTCCTTAGGGACGGGGATCAACTCACCCCCTATTGACCATCCTTAGCCGTGAATGGACCCCTCTCCTGGCACCAGCAGCTGCCCCTCCATCAGCAACGCTGTCAGGCGCTGCTTTCCCAGGGTTCTTTAGATAGAACGGTGCATCAAAAGCATGCCTTTCTCTGTATGTGCGTATCACTGCTAGCCTGAATCACGATGTGTAGTAGCCTTGTTGCAGCTCTGGGCTCCGAGACCCCTGCAGTCCATCTGTTTGCCCTGTGTGGCCAAATAGGATATGGCCGGGTGTGGCTTGGTGCTACCGGGCTGTCTTTTCAGCTTTACCCTTGCTCGCTTCGGTGCAGAAGGTCTCAGGTCCCACAGGCTCTGCAGAGGCCCCTGGCGCTGCAGTTACAGAGACCTCCCAAGATCAGTAGACGAAGATTCCAAGGTCGTGCTTTCCTTGGTCTTGAAATACGATTCATTTTGAACTGTGGATTTCCTCCAAAACGTGTTTTCCTCAGGGTGGTGGTATAATCTCCTGGCTCTCCCGGAGCACCCCCAAATCTGATGGCTAAAAATTATGCAGAGGGAAGGAAGATGAGCTTTGGCCATGGATGTGAATCTTGCTAACCAAGAGTGACATGTTTTCCGTTTCATCTATTTTCTGGCTGCTTATGCATTTTTAAGGTTGTTCATACTTACACAGCCCTTGATTCTCCAGCCCCTCAGACGAGGATGCAAACGACTGACTACCCTTTTGGCGCTCCTTTCAGGGACACCCGTGTGGTTTTTTGTGAAGATTGCCCCGATCCGGAACGAACAGGATAAAGTGGTTCTGTTCCTTTGCACATTCAGCGACATAACGGCCTTCAAGCAGCCGATCGAGGACGACTCATGCAAAGGTTCGTAACTCTGATTTGTGCACACACATTTATATGTTTTTTTTTTTGTCCCCCTTGATTCTCGATTTTGCTGCAGAAAACTTGAGGTTGCCAAGGCAATCTTGTGCGGAGATTAGGATGTAAATCTTAGTTTGCGCTGGGTATTACGTTATTCCTCTGTGTGCTTGGGGAAGAGAGAGATAGAAAACGTTGTTTGGTAAAGCTTTTTAGAGACCCTTTTACAGTCACACTTGGATGCAAGAAAGCAGCCAGTCACATCTAACATCACCAGGGCTCTCCCTGGGTTCCTCCGTCCCTCCCAGGTGGCAGGAGATTAGATGTGTGGCCTTGAGCATGCTAGGCGATCCCTTTTCCACCAAGCTTGACAGGTTTTCCCAGTCACCCACATGGGTGGGCGTGGCCACACTGTGTTTATGGCTTTCAAGTAGATGCCCTTGGGTATGTCTTTTGGATGGTTGCAGCCTCTTCAACACAAGAAATCAGGCAATGGTGAACCAGAAAAGGGGAATTGCCAAGGAAACTGAGACGCTGGTAAATGGCTATGTGTCTGCCATGGTTTTGAAAGCAAAATATGGGCTAAATTAATTTATTTGAGCTGTGACACAATTAGGAAAAAGTAAGATACACTCACATACCCAGCAACGAGCTCTGAACCCCAGTGTCTAAATGTGACTTATCTTTGTCTGGTCGCATGGCACCTGTGGCTGCTTGATTTCAAGCATGGCATTACTGAGCCCAGGGACCCAGTGACATTTCTGTAGGGGTCATCTGGACAGCTGCACGGCCCTAGATTTTAGCCAGATTGTTAGGTGGGCATTGTTTGTATAACAGTGGGGCCTTTGGAAAGGAGAAGGCAAGCTTGCTGGGAGGCTAGACTCTGCCCTGGCTCAGCTCCCTGGGAAGCTGCTGCCAGGGGTCTGAGGTCACACCCCTCTCCTACAGTTAGCATTCAGTAAACCAAGATCCCAGCAGCTGCTTCATGCTGCCAGGCTACCTGACTCTGCGGCTGGCTCTCTGCTCCAGAGCTCCTACGATGCAGCTGAGAAATGCCAGCAGAGTGCAGGGGAGCGGCGGGCTGGGGCATGTTACCCCGGGTGTGACAAAGGCTGTTAAATGAGCAGCATGGGGGGTGGGAATAAGAAACATCAGTGTGTGCCCTGGGCCTGTGTCTCTGAGGGTGTTTAAAATTTAGACACATTTATGGATCACAGCGTTGTCATCACCGCCCTTTTCCAGGGCATGGCAGCTCAGGGCGTCAGTCCCAGGGAGCCCCCTGGTTTTAGACCCCACAGTGTCTCTCCTCCCTGGAGTCTCCCTCTCCTGCCAGGAGTCTCACCGCCCTGTTTCCAGTTTTGATTTGAAGATTCCTCTGAGTGGCAGCTAGTGCATGGTGACTCACTTAGAAGGGCTGTTTGCTCTTTTTTAACCTAACAAACTAAAAAGCACCGTTCCAAGGGTGTTCAGATATTTTGACAATTGCTTTTTTTAAAGTGCTTACGTAAAAACAATTAAAATATGTGATTTGGCTATGTGAAATGTTTTCTGCGGAGATAGAGTGGTATGTTGTTATTATGATTATGATGTTGATTATTATTATTATTATTATTGTTAGAGTAGGAAAGGCATAGCCTTCTGAAAGTTTCTTATCTGGCATGTAAGTATCTACTTGATTCTCACAACACCCAAAAGAAGTGATGAATCAGAGTGACGGTGTGAGATTTGTTTGGGTTTATTTTCTAAGAATCATGTGCTCCACTTACTTAGCCTGACCTGCCCCCGTGGTGCATCTCGTTGCCGATGAGAATCTCGGTGCAATCCATCCCTCCCTCCCTCCCTCCCTCCCTCCCTCCCTCCCTCCCTCCCTTCTTTTCTCCCTCCCAACTATTCCCTATTAGTCAAGGTAAATGCTTGTCATGTATTGATTCTTATTGTCAACAAAATAACAAGCGTAACATGTGACTATTTGTAGGCAATTTAGAACACATACATCTATATTTATACATAGACACCTGTGCATATGTAGAGACATACGTGAATACATATATGCACACATGCATTCACCTTTGTATATACACACATGTACACTTATGTATACAGACATACGTATACACATACATGTGCAATGCATGCACACACAGACATATAAACACATGTACATGCTCACACACGTTAATGTTCAGTGTGAGAATCCTGGTAGGGAGCCCAGCTTAATGCCACCTCAAAGACGTGACTTACTGAGACTCTGTCGGGTGCCGCGTGGTGTTCCTGTTTTCCCTGTCACGTTGTCCCTGGCCCACTGTGGTATGGTGGTCTGCTCGGGGCACAGTCAGATTTTATATTAGCCTGTTTACGATGGAAAGGCCTGGGAATTGGTGCCGTCTGATCCAGATAGGAAAAGTGCAGCCGGCCGTGTGGCTGGTTTGCTCTGACTTGACCTTGCTTTCTAGAGATGCTCTGGACTCCACTGACCCTGGGGCTGGGAGGGTTTGCAGTTCAGCACCACAGTCAGCGTCAAGTCTTCAGAGCCTTGCTTCCCTGGGCTTGTTTAGAACTCGCCTGTGAGCGAGAATGGAAGCCAGGGGGAAGATACCATGCAGAAAACTCCCAGATAAGCTTCGGGATGTTTCCTATTATCTGGTCAGCTTATTAACTCACGTGTGTTCAAATGGCATTTCAGATTACTTGGCTTTGATCATATAATTCACCTTTCGGGTGCCTGGGTGGTGTGGGTGTGTCCTGAGAAGGGAAACCTCCAGAGAAGATTAGAATGTTGGAGGATGAGGGCTCCTTCCTGGGGCACATCGATGAGGAGTCACACATTATAGCCTTTCTCCTTCCAGTGCCGACACACCATTTCTTGCCCACGGATAACGGAGAAGCTGTTTGTGGCTGTTGTAGACTTTGCCTGTTTGCACATGGATGGGGGAAAGATGGGAAGAGACACGTCAGGGTGGGTTCCCAGTTCTCTGACACACAGTCCGAGTTCATGCCGGCCACCCATGTGTATCCACTGATCCTGTGTCGGCGTGGCTGTGTGTTGCAGAGCCTGTCTCTGAAAGAGGTTTTACAAAGCTCCCATAGCACATCCCACCCAGCGCGCCCTGTAGTGGGGTGCATGGGAGAATGTCAGCACCTCCTGTAGAGTCTAGGCTGTCCCTTCTGCTGACCCCAGCGGAGCTCCAACAGCCTGGTCGCTGTGCACCAGGCCTGAAAGTGACAGCGTCCTGCACCTGTCTTCCTAGCCTGGGGTGTGAGGGGTGAAGGTGGCGCTGATGTCCCATAGAGCATGGTTCCTCTGAGTGAGGCTAAGAGCTGCTTTACTCTTTTTGTAATGACCAAAGCTCATCAGATGAAAAATCCTAAAGGTTACCCAAAGACCAAGCCATTCTCCCTAGTCCCACAGTCCTCTGTATTCTAGGTCTGTCTTGGGAAAGTGCTCCAGGGTAAAACTTAGAAGGTGAAGTTTCTTAAGAGGCTAAAATGTGGGAATGGCTCGCATTGCCTGGCTCTCAGCATCGTATATGATAATAGTTGCACGCTCTGAATATTTGCTGTGGACCCCGTGTACACGTGTTTGGGGATCCTGGTCTTGAGGCCTGACAAGTTTCTAAAGGTCTCATGGGACAGCTGCCTGGTCAAACCTTGATACGGATGTTGCCTGTGGAGTGCTGGGGTGTTGTTTCTGGGGGACTTTAAGGGCTGCAAGTCTCATTAGACTCCTTAGATTCTCAGAAAACTCCTGCCCTCCATGACCTTTCCCCTCCTCACACTGGTAAAACCAGCCAGTGCCTTCCCTCACACACCCAGGAGTCGACCGTGCACTTCTTGGTCTCGGAGAAGACGATGCAAACCCGGCTAGTCACATCGTTTACAAACTCCAGCCTGTAGCTCAGTTTTTGCAAGATCAGATAGATGCTGGAGGAGTCGAGGCTAGCCTGAGGCAAGTCACCCAAGGCAGAGAGCCGTCTTGTCTCCATCACCTGCTGTGAGCCAGTGAGAGCCTTGAGCAGAGGAGAAGTCTGGGTTCTAGACACTTCCTCTGAATGTGGGTGCACTGGGCCTCCTTTTCCTTGTGTGTATAAAGTCCCTGAAGCCCGCTTGCTGTGTCTCTCCAGGCTGTGATCCGAATGGAGCTCAAGTAGGTTGGAAAAGCAAGGTGCCTCCCAAACCTCAAACACTCGAGGGTGCATTTCTGAGCAGCAGGTCTGACATGTGGGACGGGCTCATGGGTGTTGTCCCGTGGGTGAGGACGCCTGTGTTTTCTTGGTGCGTGACTGATCTTGTCTTTGTGCTCTTGTGCTTGCTTCAGGTTGGGGGAAGTTTGCTCGGCTGACCAGAGCTCTGACGAGCAGCAGGGGTGTCCTGCAGCAGCTGGCTCCCAGTGTACAGAAGGGCGAGAATGTCCACAAGCACTCGCGCCTGGCAGAGGTAAGGGCGGGCGTGGCCAACCAGCCTCACTTCCTGGGTGCGAGTGGGCTGGTATCACTTCCTAGGGGCATGTGGGCCGTTATGCCGGTGAAGAAGGGAACCCCCGGCCCCGGAGCTCCCAGCTTCTTGGCTGGGACCTTGGCTTGTCTGGGCTCCATGAACTGTGCTATGTAAGCTGCTTTGGTCATCACACTTTGCCGTGCGTGAAGGCACGCCCTGACTTTCATGTGATTGCGAGTGTCGGTTCACTTTTCTTAGGACGCAGCAAGGAGCTGGGATTGCTTCTTATTTGTAGAGGAGGCCTTTAAAACAACTTGTAAGTCACAGGCGATTTTCGTTATTTTAGCAATATATGCTATTCAAGGAAAACATGATATGGAAATCAAAAGGGGGGAGGAAAAACGGAAAATCTTCTGTGATCTCTGGCCGTGTAGCATTATTTGGTGTATATTTAATACTTTCCTTTGGACACATACTACTTCCTGAAGAGGAACTCCACATTTAACATCTATAGGTTTGAGATGTACCTGAGAACGGACGAGTCTTCCTTTCTTTATCTATCCACGAATCCTTTGCAGGTTAATAGACATTCTTAAAGTTGTTGATTTGAGCCTGGGATTGACATGTGAAGCAACCTTGTTTCTAATTTAAATTTTAAAAAAAGTTGTTGATTCAATAACCTCTGAAGTAAGGACAATCCGGAGTGGTGGTATTCTCCCGTTTGCTGGCGTGTGTGAGGCCACGAGAAGTATCTGTCAGGTTTAATGCACCCTCACCTCCGTGCCCACCCTCAGTCAGGCCTTGTCTTCAGATTCCCAGTGGGATGAGGGCGGGATCTCCTCGGGACACATCATGCTTCACCTAGCAAACCTCCGCCTCGGCCAAATGTGTCAGCACAAGCTCTCGGTTTGCCTTGAGGGAGCCAGTCAGCTTTTGAGCATTGGTTGAATGAAGGCATGGCCCTACTGGCCTAACTTCTGGCTTCTAGTTTTCTCAAGGGAGAAATTCCCAGCGTGCCAAGCTCTAAAGCGTGCCGGGCACCTGTGCAGTGTGTGTTGCGTAAGGTTGTTACGCAGGCTCCCCGGGAGCTTTTGTAGCTTCTGTCAATAGTGGGGATGCACACCATGCTGAGGAGAGTCATTTGGAGGTATAGCTCATAGACGCTTTTCCTCTGTTCCTTCTCGTTGATGACAAAGCGACCTTTGGTGTCTCCTTGGCTGACTGTCAAATGGCCACCCTGGCTTCTGTGCTGTTTCCTTTCATGCATGTCACAGGCTGGCTTTCCCCACGAACGTGTCTGTGTGCCAGCAACTTCCTTGTAAGCCTTTCCTTAAATGCCGTTTTCCCTATGCCTAAGTCAGGGGTTTTGGCCTGAGAGATACCTAAGAGGTGTGTTGCAAGGAACTAGCCTGTTTGATCATGGCGTTCGGCTGCACGTATGGCTGGTATGCAGACTGGACATTCTCAGGAGGAGCCAAAGCTGAAGTTATGGGTACACTCCTTCTCCCCTAGGATCTCAGCTTTTTGTGACTCTGACAAAACACCTGACAAGAGGAACTTGGAAGGGCTCTCTTTGGTCATGGATTAAGGGGACACATCTCACTGTGGTGGGGAAAGTCTCGGTGACAGCCTTGGGAGGCAGCCGGTCATGCGGCATCCTCGCTCGGGAGGTAGAGTGAATGCGGTGGTCAGCGGGAAGTGGAGTGAATGAGGAGGTCAGCGCACTTTCTCCTCGTCATCCCGTCTGAGACCCCAGCCCACTTTGGGGGTGCGTCTCCCCTCCTCACTCAGCTCTCTCCCGAACTCCTTTCACAGACACACACCAGAGGCGTGTCTCCTGGGTGACTCCACAGCCTGTCCAGTTGACAGTCAAGATAGGCATCACACCAGGCAGAGGCAGCCCTCCGCTTCTGAGGCCTTTCTTCAGGTTGGATGAGTCCTGTCACATTACGGGGGACATCCCCTTTCCCCTCTGAGTTAACTGGCGGGATGCTAACGAGTGTATCTTTACAGGAGCTCTTACATCTGTGTCTGCTTGACTACCAGGTGCCAGGGCCTTAGCTGAGTCGACACAGAAGTCATCGTTTTATTCTCTTGTCTGTGGAGTGCCCACACACATTTCCTTAAGCCACACTGGCCTCCCAGCAACAAAATAACAAAGCGGCTCTTCTTCATTTCATGGTCACTGTCCCCTGTTCAGTGGAAGATGCCACCGTTTCCCAGAAGGGGACGCTGCACCCCTGTGACCACACCTGTACCAATACGTAATGTTGACTCCTATCGGTACGTGCTATGTCACACGACAAGGAGAGAGAGGACACAGATAACAGTATAATTAAATGTGGGAAGGACTTGCTTTAGGAATTTTTCCCCAACATGTACTAACATAATATATCTTATAATATGATATACAGTTTCCTTAAAATTTTATTCACTCACATGTGAAAGTATGCGTGCGTATGTGTGCAGGCGTGTGCAGGGTCTCTTGCTAAATCTGGGCCTTGCATTTCCATGGCTCAGTTACAGGCCAGCAAGAGCCAGCATCCTTCTGTTTCCACCCTCCTTGGAGCTGGTGTTACAGCACGTGGGTAAGGCCTGGCTCGTTACACATAAGCGCGGGGATCTGAGTTCTGGTCCTCAACTGTTCCTCCCCACTGAGACATCTCTTTGGTCCGAGTCTACTTTTTTTTGTTGTGTTTGTTTTTCCTGGGATAATCCCAAGTACTTAGAACCACAGCTATCACTTAACAGTTGTTTAGTAGTGTTACTTAGTTCATAGAAATCGATTTGATGAATGAAAGAAGGAAATGACCCGGCGTTTTGTCTGTCTGTCTAGTTCTTTGATTCCAAAATGAGACAAGAATCTGGGTCTCATTCCAGGGTAAGCCTCTGCTGGGCGGCTTACCAATTTTATTGACCTTCTCAGATTACTAGCTTTCGGTTTTCGCTGATTTTTCTTTGTTGACTTTCTGTTTACAATTTTATTGGTTTCTGCCTAGATTTAGCTATTTATCTTAGTCTTCTTACTTATGAATTAATTTTCCCTTCCTTGTCTAGTTTCTTAAAGCAGATGCTTAGATTACTGATTTTGATCCTTCTCTCTGTCAAAACACAAGTTTTGATAAAATACAGTTTTATTTAAATTTTTATATATCTAGTTAAAACACATCTTCATTTACTTATATGTGTGTATCTGAGTGGGAGTACGCATCCACGCACACTCAAGAGGCCAGAGGAGGAAAACCAGGTGTCCTTCCATATCACTCTCTACCTTATTCCTTTGAGACAGGGTCTCTCACCGAACCTGGAGCTGGGCTGGTGGCCAGCATGGCCCAGAAGTCTTCCTGTCTCTGCCCCAGGCAGCGCTGGGACTACAGGTGTGTGTGTGTGTGTGTGTGTGTGTGTGTGGTCACACCTCACTTTTTATATGGGTGCTGCAGATTTGAACTCAGGCCCTCATGCTTGCAAGGTAATATCTTACCCACTGGGCTGTCTACTCAGCCCTGCTCGTAGCCCTTGCCTCACAGACTTAGAGGCTGCTGTGTGCCTGTACAGGGTGGCTGTGTGTTCTTGGAGAACTGGCCCCCTAAGTATAAATGCTGCCTTTGCCCTTGATAGAGCTGCTTTCCCTGAGTCTGTTGGGAACCAATGTAGTTACTTTGCTTTCATTAGATTAGTGCTAGCCCGGCACATCCTTCCCCGTCTCGTCTCCATCGCATATTTAGTACGGGGCTGCAGACAGCGTGTGGCTGGATTTTTTTTTAAGCAGTCTGACAAGCTCAGCTTATCATGATAATTGAAGCTCAGGCTGCTGGTTGGAGTGTCTGTACCTCTTCTCTGTTCACTACCCTTGGTCCCCGCCCTCCCCGCTCCATGGCGTTGACCACTCCTTTTTTTTTCTCGTCTTGTTTTTAACTGAACATTTTTATGAATTCAGTTTTTGATTAGGTAAAGTGTGCTTCTTTTGTGTATGAGTGTGGCGTCTGTATATGTACATGTAGGTATGGGTGTGTGCATGTATGTGGGGGCGTGTGCATGCACGTGTGTGTGCGTGTGTGCGTGTGCATGTGTGTGTGTGTGAATGAGTTAGAAGTCAAAGTCAGGTGTTGTCCTCAATTGTTGTTTTTGAGACAGGGTCTCTCACTGGACCTGGAGCTCACTGATTCATCCCGACTGGCTGACAGTACATTCATGTATTCACACAACACTACATTTGCTTCGTGGGGAGTGAAAATACATCCTTATAACAACATACCCCTGTGTTCTGTTCCATGCACCATTGCTTTTCTTCATGTCACTTAGGAATGTATGCCTGCATGCACCTCTGTAGTCAAATGCATTGTCACTATTATTTTTACTACGTGTATGTATGTGTGTATGTGTGGCAGGCAAAGGGACACTCATGAGAGTCAGTTCTCTCTGTCTATCACAGCGGTCTTAAGTCATCAAGTCATCAGGGTTAGTGACCAGCGCCTTTACCCACTGAACAATCTTGCCTACCCATGTTGCAATTATTTTGGTTAAATATCTATGTTAGATATTTAATAGTAACAAAATGGAAACTTATTTACCTCTGTTCTCTCTCTCTGACAGTCTTCTAATCTCTAAGCATGTCTGGAGTAGGACATCTTCCTTCTTTGTGGTGAACTTCACCTCCTCTGGTATTTTCTGTGAGACCCATCTATTAGCAGTATGCCCCCCTGATCTCTGTTTCCCTTTCACTTTGGGGGTGGGGTGACTTCATGTGGTGCAGATATGTAGGCTGGTATGTGTTGCTGGTGGTTCTTGTCCAGCCAGGTCCTGCCCCCCTTCTCAGCCCCAAATAAACACACAGAGACTTATATTAATTATTAAACCGTTGACTGGTGTCTAGGGCTTCTTATTGGCTAGCTCTGTCTTAATTGTTAACCCATAACTGCTAACCTATGTATTTCTACACGGCCTTATCTTAGCAGAGAACACCTGGCATGTCCTGCCTTCCTGGGCTCTTCATGGCGTCT